GGAGAGGGATGCTGGAGGTGTCAATGAAGGGAGCTCATTTTGTCCATATTTGGTATAGTTGTACAGTACACGGATAATGTTATACTGGGATAAAGAACCAAACAAACATACAAATAATTACAGTTTTCAGTTACCAGTTGCTGCATCAGTAATCCTTTCCAGCTACCCAAATATTCGCTTAGGTCTGCTTGTCAGAAACTAGTCAGCAATTTACTGGTAGCTGTTAGAATAAATCTCACAGGGAAACTGGGGATGGGGGACCAGAATATCATCTGCTTCTGTGCAACTTGGTTCAACATGGTAATTGAGAAAATGAAGATACGCACATGTTTTAAGAATAACCTTGGGACATAATTGTTGTGATGTGTTCCACCCCGGTATTGCAATAATGGTCGGTTTCTGGGCCGGGGGGCCACAGGCATGATTTGTCATGAGCCCGGGAGCTGGTTTACTTCTGCCACATCCAGTTAACATTTTTAATACATTTCTAGGTTCGTTAATTTTCAAGCTTTTAATGCTTATAGTTGGTGGGGTTAAACATGTCCTTTGCTGGTGCTTCTAAGAAAAGGGGCTGTGACTGTGAGATGGGTATGGGCTGTTCATGTCCTCCATTCCATCCACATGACCACGCTAGACAGACACCCCACAGGTAAGCATACAAGGCAGGCAAAAGGAAACAAACACAGTCAAACAGCACACTATCCTGAAGAAAGTATAAGCATGTAGAATATGGCATACAGTCTTATCCCTACTACTTGTTTGTAGAGCTGAATGTCATCCCATTATTCAGGGATTCTGAACCAAAGAAAGCAATCCTTTATACATTCTAACATCCCTGGCCCATGAGAGCTGCATATAAATCCTGAGCTGCAGGCTAATCTTTGGCCCGAAGCATCTCAGATAGTTCTTTCCTTAATGTAAGCAGGCTCTCTGTGATCAACAGTTGAAAATCGAATATCATGGAAATGGACACGGATTTTAACCTTCCACCAAGATGTAAATTTACCTTTTAAAGCTGCTGTTCTGGTGGGCAAAAAAAATAAAAAATGTCCAATACAGTAGGGTACGTGAACATTCACAGCATTTTCTTTTCCTCCCCCTTTCAGCTGTTGCATTTCATACCTGTTCTTCTTTATGGATGCTGAAAGAAAATTAATGGGCTGCTTATTCAGTAGTGCAGAGTTTCAGGTAACAAAATGCATGACAGCTATTTAACCAATACTTGGGTAGCCAGCCGGTAAGGGTGGCATTAATGATTTTGGAGAAAGTTAACTAAGTACATCTATCACTTTGTCATGTATGTTAAAAGAAAGCATCAATCAAAGGATAAGAAGGTAGCACTTTTTGGCTTCTCTTTGCAGGTACTACTGAAATCTGTTACAAAAATCAATAGGACTGGAGTGGTGAGCTGATTTTTTGTTGATTAAATAGAACATGGAGTGGAGTAGGAAGAGAGGGGCTGAGAATAAACCACCTATGGCCAAGTGATAGGAAGTTTTCTAAGAGCAAGCACGCGCTAAAAGTGGTACATATGGCAGATGTCGTTCCCAACCTGTGGCATTAAGTCCAAAACACATCACTGGAAGGTGCTAAAAAAAGGCATGGCAGAGAAAAGAGTCACTGTCAGGTGTGGGGCAGGTAGATGTGGTTTGGAGAAAACATCCTTGCAGCTCAAATTGGGGCCTGTTCTTGGTTGTTCTTTACTTCTATGTCAGTTGTGAGTGTCATTGGGATCCTGTGTATCAGTAAAAATATAGAGCTGGGGTCCCACATTCAAAATAAGCTGTCGTGACAACTGGATATTATTTCTGTACTGTTTTATATTTCAAGGGGGGGGGAAATATCAAACCTACATTAAAACATCAAATGAAACAATCCAGAATAAAACATTACTGAAGGAAGTCAAGTATACATTCAAAGCAACAGGAAACTATTATCTTAAAGATTTCAAAGTGAAACATTAGTAAAGGAAGTCAAATATAAAATGTACATTTGAAACAGCATAATGAGCAAGAGAATAAAATATTATCATAAGTATAGAACATATCTGCTGATGTTGCTGCCAGTCCTGGACATGGCAGATGGTGGCTGTAGAAGCTCAGGCCTGATGACCTAGTCTGCACCAAGAGATGGCCAAGATGGCCTCTGGCCTCTTCAGCAGCCTCAACTTTTTTAGCTGGAATCAATGCGGGCCCTGCCCTCCCAGACCAGGTGGAAAATGGCCTGCAAGGCAGGGTACAAGTCCTCCAGGTCTCACAGAGAGGATGATAGTATTGTTTAACTGTGCCAGAACTCGCCTACCTCTGAGCTCACTTAAGTGTATAGGATCATTTCTTAAAAGGGTCCTGTAAGAATGCTATTGGAGGCAGAGGTAATGCTTTGCAGTTTGGTTATGCTGCTTTCCCTCTGGGAATTTATGTACCAAGCATTTGGAATCTGCTGGCCAAGGAAGATACTGTCACAGCTTGTGAGCCACCAAGTTAAACTCAGCCCATGACAACAACCCACAAGGGGTATGGAGAAACTTCCTTTTTCAAATCTACAAGACTGAAGAAATAGGAAGGGTAGGTACTGGACGTACGGAAGGTCATTAAACATGGCTAGTAGGTTGCATTTGGCTTGGTCAGCCGCAAGGCATGGCCAAACTGGCTCCCTGTGAAATCAGATTCTTTTGATAAGAACATAGGGAGTTGCCTTATACCAAGCCATATCATTGGTCCATCCATCTAGTTCATCCTCTACCATCTAGTCCCTCCTCTACCTGGAGATACTGGGGGTTGAACCTGGGACCTTCTACATGCAAAGCAGATGTCCTCCAGTTGAGCTGCAGCCCTTCTCCAATCAGATATTTCATTTCTGATATGAAATAAATTCTTACACATGTGAATTTAAGCAATGATCCCCAAATGTAAATTTGAATTTTGGGATATATTTATTTATTTGACTTTTGATTACAACTCTGAAGGATATTTTCAGAAACCTAGATCTTATAAAGCATGTCAGTGAATTTAAAGGCTGCTTTTAGTTTGGACAAAAATTGTGCAGGCGTGGTTTGAATGTTTCCAGAAGAAAGGGCACACAGCTCAGATCCTCTTACCAATTTCAGACTCCCACATCTTCAGTTGGGATGCCATTTTAAGTGTTAGTACAGGGAGGAGAAAGGGAAAAGAATGATAAATTCAGGACTGAAGTACAGAAAAGGTAAAATATCTAAGATCAATTGTGGTTATTTTTTAATACAGTGGTACCTCGGGTTACATACGCTTCAGGTTACATACATTTCAGGTTACATACGTTTCAGGTTACAGACTCCGCTAACCCAGATATATTACCTCGGGTTAAGAACTTTGCTTCAGGATGAGAACAGAAATCGCGCGGTGGCAGCGGAAGGCCCCATTAGCTAACATGGTGCTTCAGGTTAAGAACAGTTTCAGGTTAAGAATGGACCTCCGAAACGAATTTACTTAACCCGAGGTACTACTGTACCTTATAACAAGTGGAGATTAACAGATATTCAGTGTGGCCTGGAGCATGAAGGGGTTGGTGGAAGAGAGAGACCCCATTATATTATTGCCCGTTAGTAAAGTTCAGTTCTGGGTCAGAAAGTTTCTTCATCTTTCCTTGTCTCTCTCCCCTCCCCTTTCATTTTATTGGACATTACCTTTTTCACACACCCTCCATTTTATTTTATTTTTGAATACACCCCTGATCATTTGAGTTCTGGTACCTAGTGCAGTAGACTAGTTACAGCTGGTTTCCACTTTCTTCTTGGGAGTTATATTCACAACATTCTTTTGGCAGCCATGAGAATCAATTCTACCTCTTTCTGCCTGTTTTGATGTAATTGTTTCTGAGTCTCCCTCATGGGTGGTATAGTGGTAGACTCATTCTGTTTCATTTTACACACAGAGAGAGAGAGAATGAGAGAGAGAGAGAGAGAGATTTCTTTCAAGAGAACACTTCTGTTTCAGAAATATTGCATTTCCTTTATTCAAACCACTATACACTGATGCTCGGAAATCATCCTTATTTTCTCATCTTGGCCAGAATTGCTCTTTGGAAGAAGGCTGTACATGAGCCCCCTATTCCAACCCCCCTAGGACATTAAGGGGTGATCTGACCCAGATCCAGAGCCCAAACAGATTCAGTCTGCATCAACCCAATTCAGCTGAATCCCAGGTTAACTCAGATCCTAGAGTTGGGCCCAAGCTTGCATGGTCATATCTGATTGGACAATCCTCCTCCTTCACCAGCCCTTTCTCTGATTCTTATGGGCTTAAAATAGGTATTAATCACTATGAACATTCATCATCTACTGAACGTCATGGACAATCTTGCTTCTCACAAGATTGCTTATTGTAGGTTGCTTAGAAACTAAGCTGTTTGTAACAAGGGAGACTTTGCACTTACAGTTGTATGTGTGAAGGCTTTGTCACTACAGATGGTCATGCTCTTCGTGGGAAGATTACGTGTGGATCTTCTTGGAACTTCCCCATGCCCTGCTTCCATGCTGACAAAGACAGAAACATTAAAGCCTGAATAAGGTTCTTTTGCTTTAAAGTATTTCTCATAGGGAAGAAACTCCAATCCCTCAATCGTTTTGGTTACAGTGGTACCTCTGGTTACGAACTTAATTCATTCTGGTTGTCCATTCTTAAGCTGAAACCGTTCTTATCCTGAGACTTTTTTTTGCTAATGGGGCCTCCGGGGCGCGATTTCCGTTCGCATCCTGGGGCAAAGTTCGAAACCAGGAGCAGCTACTTCTGGGTTAGCGGAGTTTGTAACCTGAAGCGTTCATAACCACAGGTACCACTGCACTCTTTTCTACAGTTTTTCTGGTACTATGATCATCATTTTTGAGATTTCTAAACTCATATGGTTTCCCTCATACTCATAGGGGAGAAGATAAAGAACTTATTCATAGAATTGTAGAGTTAGAAGAGATTACAAGGGCAATCTAGTCCACCCCCTGCAATGCAGTAATCTTTTGGGTAATCTTTTGCCCAACGTGGGACTCAAACCCATGATTTTGAGATTAAGAGTCTCATGCTCTATTGACTGAGCTATCGCATGACCTATTCTGTTTTGGATCTATTCAATCTGTCATGGTTTATTTCTTTTTCCTTTGGGGCTTTTAATGGCTAGTAAACAATGACGGGACGCGGGTGGCGCTGTGGGTAAAACCTCAGTGCCTAGGACTTGCTGATCGTAAGGTCGGCAGTTCGAATCCCCGCGGCGGGGTGAGCTCACATCGTTCGGTCCCAGCTCCTGCCAACCTAGCAGTTCGAAAGCACCCCTAAGTGCAAGTAGATAAATAGGGACCGCTTTATAGCGGGAAGGTAAACGGCGTGTCCGTGTGTGGCGCTGGCGCTGGCTCGCCAGGTGCAGCTTCGTCACGCTGGCCACGTGACCTGGAAGTGTCTTCGGACAGCGCCGGCTCCCGGCCTCTTGAGCGAGATGAGCGCGCAACCCTAGAGTCGGTCACGACTGGCCCTGTCGGGCAGGGGTACCTTTACCTTTACCTTTAAACAATGATGCATTTTGTACACAAGAACTTACGAAGAATCTTGCTGGGTCAGTCCAAAGGCTCATCAAATCCAGCATTCACAATGGCCAACAAGATGCCTATGTAAGCAGGACCTGAGCACAAGGGTTAGAACATTCACAAGCAATGTTTACATAAGGGAATTGTCATCTTTTTCTCCTGTTCCTCCTTAATCCACCTTCTCCAGTCAGTTCATGATATCCCTAACCACATTTCCACTAGCAGTTCTGGTCATAGTGAGGGACATATGATACCCCCTAGTTAATGCTTGTAGCAGCAGCACCTATGTTAGGAATTGTTGTTAAGATTCAAATAAAATTTAATTTACTGAAAATGAAAGAGGAAATCATGGAGAAAGTCAAACATTTGAAAACCTGAAGCATGGATGGGAGCCTGTGGCCCTCCAGATGTTGTGGACTCCAACTCCCATCAGTCCAAGACAACTTAGTGAATAGTCAGGGATGATGAGAACCTAATTATGTTTGGAATGCCACAGATTCCCCACCAATGGTCTAAAGTTTATGAGGGAATATTTACCCCCAAAGCAATTGATACACCAAAAAGCAAAACCAAAATGGTTCCCACTCAGGTATGATTTGTTATATTTTTCAAATTTGTCCATAGAGAGTAACTTCATTTTGAAATTACCTCAGAGAAACCCTTTACAGATGTGTCTTGAAGACAAAGAACTCCCAATGCTTTATGGGGGCCAGAGCACCTTGAATTAGTTTGACTGACACATTGGAACAGATTGCTGGAACAAACATTTGTATAATACTTGTTTATGTTACTGTATCATGTCGGGTGTCTGTTATAGTCACTGCCAAGCAGGTGTTATAGGAATCTTTGCATTCTGCCATAAAAGTGGGGAGTGGAAATGGAATTCACATACATGGACAGCTTGGAGATGTGTTTATTTTTTTATTCAGCAGTCTATATTTTGTTAAATAAATTCAAAATAATTAAATAAGATTGAAGAGGTTGCATTTTCAGAATTTGTTAGCGGAAATGCTTGCAAATAGAAAGGGCTAAACTGCTCAGAACTGAGAGGGGGCTTCCGGTTTCTGGTTGCCTTAATGGCACAACTCCCACGATAGTGGAGATCATTGGCCAAGCAATAAACAAAGATGATAGAGGGTAATTATATTTGTAAACTTCCCCCAGAGCCTGGGGAGAGTGAGCTTTACTCATGGTTCATCTCAGTACCTGGCTTTTGCTCCAACATGCATGTGAGAGGCAGGGAGACGCTGGATGCAAAAGCACTTTGCCTCTCGGTAACTCTCTAATACTGCTATTAAGAGCAGTGGTTCTTCTGTTCATTAAGAGATTAATTAGGAGTAATGCACAGACTCTGGTGATGATGGGACAAGATTAAGGACTGCCGAATTAAAACAGCTACAAGGTTGTACACATTTTAATTGGAAAGATGACTTCATTCAAGCAACAAGATGGTGTTGTGGGGGGAGCCAATCGCTTCATTATAAGTCCTTTGTTACATAAATGACTCGGCAACCACCCACCCCCCGAGAATGGAAAAAAAACAAATGAAGAAGAAAGGAGGTTGGAGTACAGATATGGATTATAATGATAAATGGGACTGTGTGAGCAAAATATTTGTTTGGAATAATTATAAAAAAGACTTGGAGCCTCTGCAGAGTTAATTTCTTACTTGCCCCCTGATTGAGGGGAGGAGGGACTTTGAAGACTTGATGGGGCTCTGATCTACACCAGATCATTCTTCTATGAATAATTATAATTAATTGTTTTGATTGGATGTGGAGGGGAGAATTTGGAGGCCTGCCACGGTTTTGGCAGGACACTGGGTGACTCCCTGCTTCAAATCGAAAGTGGAATTTTACAGCTGCAATCAGAAGAGTTGAGAACAAAAAGAGAGATCTCTCCAGAGTAACTTCGAGTCAACAAAGCTGGAAGGCACAAAGGAGATCAGAAATAACTTATATGGGCATAATATTTGATAAAGAATTAAAGGAACAATTGGTGGAAATTAAAATCTCACACAGGAAGAAGAAAGGAGAACTTTGCTTACGAATTTACAAATTATTATATGTGTTAATGTGAACGGAAGTTAATTATTGCAGCTGTGGTATAAGGGGTTTTATCATGAGTGGATTGTATTTGGTTTGAGCAATAGTCTGGAGGCAGAATTAAAGGGAATCAGACCTTGAAGTACAGCACGTGGGAAGCCACACAAAATTTATAATTGGCTATGTAACTGATTTGTATTTGAATTGATATTGCTATTTGGTATTAATTAATGTGGCACATATTGGATTTTTGTAATTGAAAATTAATAAAAATTATTTAACAAAAAGAACTGAAAGAGAAGCCTGAATAACTCAGTTGGTTAGAGCATGATGCTGATAACTCTAAGGTTGCAGGTTCGATCCCTGTATGAGACAGCTGAATATTCCTGCACTGCAGGGGGTTGGATTAGATTATCCTCAAGGTCACTTCCAACTCTACAATTCTATGAAGACTGGTACTGGGCAGTGGTTTTAACAAAGCAGTATGCTTATATGTTGCTTTTGAAACTGTGCTCCACAGAAGAGAAAACCAGTAGTCACAGAGAAGCTTTCCCTCCACCCAAAAGCAGCTAGGCCATTCAGTCTCTGTAAGGTACAGCTGCAGCTGTAGTCCATCCAGCATCCCTGGTCCAGCATCCCTGGTCCATCCAGCATCCCAGAACTGAATGTGCTCCTTAGATTGCTCTCTAGACTGCTCCTTTGCAAAAAGCAGTAATTCTGTGGAAGACATGCAAGGATTTCTTTACAGGCAAATTGGCATGAAGAGCATTCAGAGAGAATGTTTGAAAACCACTTCATTAAAGACATGATGGGAAGGAGTAGAAACCTTTAAAACAACCCCCCCCCACACACACACACTTTGTATGGGCTCTTTGCTGACTTGAGATGTTTATAATAAAAGTATTTGAGTGGATTGCTGGGGAAAGTAGGCCAGGTCCCTCTAACGATGTCTCGGAGCTCAAAACAGTTGAACGCAGTCATAGAAATTCTTCAGTATATTCAGAGTCCATGCAATCAAAATGTAATAATAGAAAATCTCCAGCACAATACCCCGGTCCCTTCTTGAATCATATTGACATCACATCGCATCAGCAAAATAATCTATCACAAAATGCCATGATTTGTACGACACCATTCAGCAGCCCGCACAATGCTGGTTTGCATGGCTGTGAAATTATTCAGATGAAATTGCTCAACATGCACGTTACAGAACACAACCTGCAGAAAATAACTCAGCTGCTGGCAAAATTGGTCCTGTGACAAGACCTTCAAGGGTGCCAAAAGGGGCACCAAATCTCAGTAGCTTTACAAATTAGCCCACCTACCAAATCATCATATATATGCTATAGTATGACTCTTAGCAAGCAGCTGTACACTTTTGTTGTTGTTGTCGAATCAATTGTAGAGTTGGAAGGGACCGCGAGGATCATCTAGTCCAACTCTCTGCAATGCAGGAATATGCTGCTGGCCCATACAGAACTCATACCCATGCCCTTGGCATTTTCAGCACATTTCCAGCTAATGGTGTTTGCTTCCCACCTCCATTAGTTACTCAAAGACTTTTTGACTCACACTATTTCACTGTAATACATAGGGCTTTCACAGAGAATCACACCTATTTTCTCTTTTAGGAGAATGTATTCCTTGCCTGCTTCATATGAATGTGGGAGACTAAGAACCCTCACACAGGCATCAATCTGCAGGTCTTCAGAGATTTCAGCTTTAAAGCCAGATGAAGAACATCCTGACCCAGTAACTGCATACTGGAGCACCAAGTCGATAATATGCATCAGTGTGCGCAATGGCAAGATGTAATCAATAGTGGATTTTGATGCGTATCTGTCTGATTTTGAGGGGGGAAACCACTTGAGACACATTTATTTGTGTACTCTGCTTACATTGTGAGGAGCTGAGAAAATATTTACAAGTTGATTTTGATTTTGCCCCTTTCTCCCTCCTTTCCCCCATTGTCCTGGGCCGTTCCAGGATTTCCATCTGGAGCCAATTAAGTAAGCAGAGTTCTCTGTAGTCAGGAGGTTCAGGCTTCTCTCTCTTGTGATTTAAACACAGTTGTGCCCAGGACTTCAATTTGCCAGCTGCTCAAGGTTGAACAAAGTCACCATCATGAAAAATTGCTTTCCCCCAATACCAAAATAACCCCAAATCAGAACACAGTAGCCACTCCATCTTTACCTGCAGGTGAAGTTATTAGAACTCAGCTGCAGAAAAACTCTGAACCTGTTGAGGATATGTTTAAACATTACTTTTCTATAAATTAGAAGCATGTTATGAATCTTGGAGCCTGGAGAGATATCATGGTTCCTTCTCCATTCGCATTAGTTTTGTTTAGCCTACAGAGAATGAATCTATCACCATCAATGATGATAGCTAGTAGCAGTAAATGATCTACTATCCCAAGTCAATCTGAAAGCAAAATATGTATTAAAAATCTATGTTTTCTGACTGAAGTGCCCTTCACACACACCAGTGTGCCTATCCCATGACCCACCAGATCTTGCTGAACCACACAGTGGCGTAGCGTGGGGGGTGCAGGGGGGGCCGGCCGCACCGGGCGCAACATCTGGGGGGGGCGTGCTCGCACTCGCAGCTCTCTGCCCCTACCTGGCTCACTCACTCTCTCTCACTGCAGTGCTGGCTGTGCGAATCCGATCCGAGCCGCTGGGTCGCCACCCACTGTGGAGGGGGTGCCAGGCGTGCGGTGCGGAGAGAGGCGAGGGACTATCTGGGGGAGGGACAGTGCAGCGGCCGCCCAGCGCAGCGCTGAGCGCGGGAGAGAACCACACCAGACCAGACCAGGCAGCAGCAAGAAGAAGCTGGCAGCGGCGGCAGGTTAGGGGGCGCAAATTACTTGCCTTGCCCCGGGTTAGGGGGCGCAAATTACTTGCCTTGCCCCGGGTTAGGGGGCGCAAATTACTTGCCTTGCCCCGGGTGCTGACAACCCACGCTACGCCGCTGGAACCACAGCTCCCAACATCTCTGGCCATCAGCTGTGCTGTGGTGTGGTAGTATGGGAGTGGTAGTTCAGCTATACTTGGAGGGCCACATACACACAAAGGAGCATAGAATCTGTTTCCACATGATACTATGCTGTCAAATAGCAGACATGTGGGAAGGGAGAAATAACATGGTTCTTCCTCATCAAGTGTGAAAGATCTATGTGATTAACCCTATCCATATCACACTGACATTCACAGATTGGACCCAGGGTTACACCACTGAGAATCACACCTTTTTTAGGGCAATGGTCAGAGCACACTCAGGAGCCAGGAGTTGTCCCCAGGGGGTTAGAGCTGGGGGAGTCAAGCCAAGATTTATACACTACTTAATTTAAAAACTGCCTCTAGGCAGCTTACATAAAATAATACAGAACACTCATAAAAAAAACCACCAATGATTTTTAAAAACAAATACAAATCATAAAATTATCAAAATACAGGAAAAGTCCACAATTTGAAAACAATATAAATAATAAAATTACATATCTGGGAACAGATAAGTATTTAGCAGGTTTCAAAAACAGTACAGTGAAGGAGCCTACCTAATATTAACAGGCTTATTTTCCATAAGTGTATTTAAGAAAAAGAAGACTCAGGACCCAACAGCACCAGAGGCATGAATCCAGTTGGTCATAAGTTTGTGTGAAACTGGGATATGTTTTAGAAAATTGTAACTTGCTAGAAAGAGTCCATGTAGCTGAGCCTGCCTGGCCTTTCAAAGAAATTCTCCCAATTGCTTTTTTAGTCATTATTTTCCTCAGTGCCTTCCTCATTCTCTAAAAACAAATTTCAGCAATAAATTTCTGCTTGCTGAAGTCAGGTGAGTTAATCAAGCTAAGGTCCCAAGCTATGAAATAGGGGTGGGGGGAGGCATGGCATTTTCTCACCGACTATATACTTTGCTCTCTCAGGCCTTTCCAGAGATTTCTTGCTTCAATTGTTCTTCATTCCCTGTTTCACCTTTTAGGTCTGCCCAACTGCTGAGCAGACAGGAGTTTTGTCAGAGATAACCATTCAGAGTGTCACTGGAAATGAGTCAGGCTTCTGGAAATTAGGGATTCAAGATGGAAGAGACATTTGGAGCTAAGCAGCCTATCATCAGCTTGGCAGTACAAGATTGCTCTCCGAGTTCCTTGCTAAATCCAGGTCCCTATCTACTTGCTAATTTCTCAGCAGGTAGGGCCAGAGTCGGCATTTAATTGGCAAGACAAAAGATGCTGAAAGTGGGCAAAATATTTAAGAAACAGTGTGTGAAACTTCCTTGGCTTCCCTCCCTCATAGAGCTGGAATCAGGGCACCAGTCAGCAGGGGCTGTTGCTGGAGAATGGCTGGGAGATAAGTCAGATAAGGAACAGGCCTGGTCATCCCTTCTCAAAAAGGATATTGCAGAGTTGTAAAAGGACAATCAGAATGATAAAGGGGACAGAGCAACTCCTCTTTGAGAAAAGGTTGCAGCAAGGAAGGCATTCCACAACACTGGTGCCACCAGTGAAAAACCCTACCACCTTGTTCCTACAATCTGATAATCATCAGGCCAATCATTCCATTACCTGACTGTAGTGGCCTTATTATATATTTACCTGAAAAACTGTCATGAGGCTCCTGTGTCTATGTGACCAAATGTATATGATGTGCTGTGCTTGATATGTGGTAACTAATATGAGTACAGTAGTACCTTGGGTTAAGTACTTAATTCGTTCTAGAGGTCCTTTCTTAACCTGAAACTGTTCTTAACCTGAAGCACCATTTTAGCTAATGGGGCCTCCCGCTGCTGCCGTGTCACCAGAGCACAGTTTCTGTTCTCATCCTGAAGCAAAGTTCTTAACCTGAAGCACTATTTCTGGGTTAGCGGAGTCTGTAACCTGAAGCATACGTAACCTGAAGCGTATGTAACCCGAGGTACAACTGTATTTAACAACAGCAAGGCAACAAGAGATCCAGGGTGGAAGGTTTTAGCTCCTGAAACTTTACTTGTTGTACAGTAACTAGGTAGGGGGTGGTGCTAACCCTGAAGGAGATGCAGATTGGCTTGTTTTGAGTTTCCTGCTGCTGCTGTTTTTGAAGTGGGGGCTGTGATCGAAAGGATTGTGTCATGTCTTTTAAAAGTCTACAAAACTTGGATACTTGGGCTGCATCAATAGGAGTATAGCATCTAGATCAAGGGAAGTAATAGTGCCACTGTATTCTGCTCTGGTCAGACCTCACCTGGAGTACTGTGTCCAGTTCTGGGCACCACAGTTCAAGAAGGACACTGACAAACTGGAACGTGTCCAGAGGAGGGCAACCAAAATGGTCAAAGGCCTGGAAACGATGCCTTATGAGGAACGGCTAAGGGAGCTGGGCATGTTTAGCCTGGAGAAGAGGAGGTTAAGGGGTGATATGATAGCCATGTTCAAATATATAAAAGGATGTCACATAGAGGAGGGAGAAAGGTTGTTTTCTGCTGCTCCAGAGAAGCGGACATGGAGCAATGGATCCAAACGACAAAAAAGAAGATTCCACCTAAACATTAGGAAGAACTTCCTGACAGTAAGAGCTGTTCGACAGTGGAATTTGCTGCCAAGGAGTGTGGTGGAGTCTCCTTCTTTGGAGGTCTTTAAGCAGAGGCTTGACAACCATATGTCAGGAGTGCTCTGATGGTGTTTGCTGCTTGGCAGGGGGTTGGACTCGATGGCCCTTGTGGTCTCTTCCAACTCTATGATTCTATGATTCTATGACTTGTTTGCTGTGTTCAGAATCACCCTTGCCCAGCTTTAGACTATTTTGCTTTTAAACCTGATGAGTTCACACAAAACATAAATTAGCCATTCTCAGTTGTGAAAATGAACCCCTCTGGGGCGCAAGGAGGAAATGATAGCAATAATTTGTGGGCAATGTCAGTTTGTTTGCAGTTTTCTCCAATTCCCCTCCTCATTTGACAGTACAGAAGGCATCTAAATAAAATGGATAGGTTAAAGCCATCTTGGTGAACTATTTGCCTGTCTATTTTTCAAGCTCTGTTTTGATCTGATCTAATTTTTGAGAACAACTCAACAAAAAGCATCCCACTTCTTATAATTACTGCTATATAACTGATTTAGTGCCCTGTGAAATGCTGTGGTTGCAGATAAAGCTGGGAGCAAAAGTGGCAAAAGGATGTCATCAGCATCGCTCTGTATTGAGGCAACTCAATCACAGTTGTTTTTCTGCACCCAGCAAGAATGTGATATGAGGGAGCAAGCAGCTACCCACAGGCAAAGGAGGCTTTAACATGACCAAAACTCATTTTGGTTTCAACTCAAGAAACTTTGGCATGGCAAAGGGCAGAGATCCAGTCAATAGCCATTCTGATTGCTAATCAATGTCACCATCCCATACAGAGTGCTCAGATAATGTTGAAGGAAGTTGCACATTTTAAGGCCCATCATAGCACAAACTTCTATTGTGGGTCTGTCATCAGTGGCGGACCTACATTTTGGGGGTCCTGAAGCTTGAACTGTCATGGGGGCCCCTTCACAACCCGCAATGAGGTCTGGGTAACCACTGTTATCTTCTTCAATGGGATTGTCCATGACAGATCACCATATCACAACATCTGTGCAGTAGCTGTCAAACTTAGGGACTGCTGAAATTTATACAACAAAAAAATAATCAAATTGAGTCGTGCCACTCAAATTGGGTCTACTGGACCCAAAAGTTTTACTCAGTGTGGGCTAAAGTTGCTTCTGGGGCCCCTCCAGGATTAAGGACCCTGAAATTGAAGTTTCAGTGGTTCCATAGTAGATCTGCCCCTGCTTGTCATGCAACCTGGGAGTGTGGTGGCTGGGCTAAGGCCTAAAAGCGGCAA